ATAGATAGATAGATAGATAGATAGATAGATAGATAGATAGATAGATAGATAGATAGATAGATAGATAGATAGATAGGTACGTAGGTAGGTAGGTAGGTAGGTAAGTAGATAGATAGATAGATAGATAGATAGATAGATAGATAGATAGATAGATAGATAGATAGATAGATAGATAGATAGATAGATAATAGGTAGGTAGATAGATCTGATATAGCAGATAGATAGATAGATAGATAGATAGATAGATAGATAGATAGATAGATAGATAGATAGATAGATAGATAGATAGATAGATAGATAGATAGATAGATAGATAGATAGATAGGCAGGCAGGCAGGCAGGCAGGCAGGCAGGCAGGCAGGCAGGCAGGCAGGCAGGCAGACATTCCATATTTCCAGGCAAAAAGGAACCTAATAACTTTCCAATGCAACGGGTGAATTTTAGTCCAACTTTTCCAGGACTTAGCTCACCAATGTAATCAGTATAATACATTAATGTCCATATGCTCTGAAAATCCAGCCAGTTGTGGCTGATTTAATACTGAAGTAATCCATGGAAAAGCACATTGGTTGAATACAGCCATACCATCCTGGTCATCTTCCTAGGACTGGAGAAAAAAAGGAAGTATCATCCCTTCGGTCATGACATCATTGTACAGATGGCATAATTTGCATTATTTGTGCAATGGTGTCATGGCATACATAATGTCTTTGTAGCTCATAATCAATGCTTACATCCACCATCATTGCGTATTCAATGTGTTCCTATTTTATATACTAAAAAAAATCCTCATTTTTGCTGTTGATGTACCCAAATGGCATCATTCTGATACAATGGCAAGGTAAATAGTAGGTTTAGGAGAATATAAAAATAAAGTATTTTTTTAGTGATAAAAAATATACTAGGATCTACTAGGAGAGTTGATAGAAGTTTTTGACCCTTATTTTCAACAACAGACTGTCTCTACTTGTAGAATCGGGGGGTGAAGGATAACTACAAAAGGATTTTTGTGTGAAAGGTTTATGTACATTGTAAGTTGCATGTAACATGTTCTTACAAAATTATAAATAAGCATCTGGTTTTGCGGGGACGGTCTAGAATTTATGTTTATTTAATAGTAACTAAAGAGTTTCTCCAAAAACTTTTAATTAGTATCATTAAATCTCAGCATGTTTATTGTTTTAATCTTGTTTTTGACAATTGCCTGATTTTCTTTGCACAACATGGAGAAAATTTGAGGCTTATCTACTTTCTGACACCAAACTTTTCAGAAATGAAGTGTGTACTGTCAGAGATTAGTCCTGATAATTCTTTGCAACACAAAACGGAAGTCAACAACCTTTTTAAACTTTATTCCATATTTAAAAAAAGAACAACATGTTGATCAGCTTTGAGCCGGGCATATATGAAATGGTGAAAAGAATATATAAAAACTTAGTATATTGTTTAAAAATCATTACATTATACTCAAAGCCCACATATTCAAAGTCAATAGAAGGAATATTACAAATAAAAAGAAAAAAGTTGGAATTTTCTTCACAGAATCCAATATTTAATAGTTTTCATTTCATTTAAGACATTTACAGAAAGAAAGGATTCAGATGGATAAAAATTAAATGTGTTAAAATATTGTAAAAGCATATGTGTAAATTTTTTTAATAATGATAGAACTTTTTATCTTTTTTTGTTTTTATTTTCCTATATTTCATTTGCTTTTCTAAAAAAAATGAAAATGTAGATTATGTTATATAATATTATACTTTTCTTCCTTTTATTACTTTACGCTTTATAATAATATATTATTAAAAAAAAGAAAACAAAACCAGAAACACACACACATGCACACACAACAAATAGAAATATATGGGAGATTTATTTTTAATTTAAAAAGACATTAATTTTGTTATAGCATATTGGTATTTGTAGGAAAAACATAGCTGTTTGCTCCATTTGAATCCCAGGATAATTTAGAGCACATTTTAAATAACTATTAATATGATTCAACAATTTGATAAGGACAGCAAATTAGCCTATTTCAGAGAAGCATTCACAATTCATATTTCAGATTGTATCATAAAGTGATTATCACTAATATTAATTCAGTTTGTACAGTTCAAAAGTTGTTGGCTTTGCTTGCAATACAATTCAGTGCTCTTGATATCGTCTCAAAAATCAGTCAGATTTGAGTATTGACATGTGCCACATTCAGTGACTGTATTTGCTTGTATATTAATTAACCTGTTCTGTACATTTTTTACACAATTGTCAATACCCATCAAATATGAGTTTGGCAGCCATAAATGAACATAAATACTTTCCTAATTAATATATAAGTCTTGCTTCCTTTTTATAGCCATTTAAGAGAATGAATCAAGAATTCTTTTAAAAGCCAAATGTAATGAACACTATTAAAGTTTAAATGTGTTTTCTTTTAATCTCTTCAACAACTATACCTTTTTAATCTCTTCAACAACTACACCTTTTTGAAGATTTCTGTTTGAAATCAAATTGTTCATCTGACTGGGGTTTTTTTAAGCTTTAAATTCTGGTAACTGAAAATTCTAAATATTGATCACATGAGGGCTATTAACATTATTGCATTCAGTAACAATAACTGATAATAACCAAGTGATATAAATATAAAGATTTTCAAAATACTAACCAATTCCCAGTATAGCAGCAGTAGTAATAGTAATATTAATAACAAGCTACTGTTTGTGCAGTATTACAGATAACTTCCAAACCATAATAGAACTCCTACATTCCTCTTTTTTGCTTCAAAGTTCTATAAAAGTACATTAAATGTTGTATTAAGTGACTTTTCTCTTTAATTTAATTTCAATCTTTAATTGTTTTCTTTTTACCTAATACATGCATGCACAATTATTTTATTTACAATTTCAGTATATTCAAATATTTACCTTTTGCATGAATTTGTTGCTAAATGGGACAAAGACAGGAAATCTTATTTGTCTTTTAAATGAATTGCAACTTCAAAAACATTTACATATGGAAAAAGGGAACTGGCTGTTCCAAATCTGCTTTACTACGCAAACTAGTCTGTCTGTCTGTCTGTCTCTCTCTCTCTCTCTCTCTCTCTCTGTGTGTGTGTGTGTGTGTGTCTGATACTCTAGAAAGAGTATAAGTTCTAGATTTATTTATACAGATACATTCATTGAAAAGTATAGAACTCACAGTAGTGATAGTAATTGTAAAAAATGTATTACAGATAATTTGTAAAAAATGTATTACAGATAATTTGGGGACAATGTACTCCATGCACTCTAGTTTATATGATTGGCAATTTGATATTAGAATTTGTGGCTGTTAAAGCTTTTTTTTAACTTTCTGTAGTCTGCTCAAAATGTGTTATGAATGCTTTGCAAGAGCAATTTTTCATCCATTGAACTTTGATTTTTACCTAGCAAATAAATGAAAGCATATTGAAGTTTTTCATGATCTCCAGAGAAGAAAGCACTCATTTTAAGAATGTAATTCAGAAAATAAACTTAAAAATGGGCTGAAAATTATACAGTACAAATTTCTGCATAGATATCCAGAACTAAATCTCACTGCACTCAGCAGAACTTCGGCAGAACTTATTTCCAAGGAAATGTGGAACATCATAGTGTTTTAGAACTATGGTGATAATAAAATTTAAGTTCATCGCAACTAAGCTATTTTTCAGTCTAAATTGAAACTCAATTTATATATAAATCTGATCTAATTCCTTATAATTATCCACTCAAACATTTATTGTATTTTGGGCAAACTGGCCAATCTCTACTAAGAAGAATACTATAAATGGACATAACTCCAAGTCCCAAACTGTGAATACTCCAAACCAATGTGAACATTTTAACTCCCTGGAACATTCTACAACATACCACAATGTAGCAAATGCAAAACCAGGTTTTATTATGAAGCAGCATTAATTAGAAGCATCAACACCTTGTATTTACTCATGGATTAAACAGAAAGTGAGACTCACACTTTATGTGTTAACTAATTCTTCATTTCTGTGTTGTACTTGACTTCTTTTAATGGCCCTTTTAGGTAGTCCTTCCTTCATAAATCTCCAAAAAGCCCAGTTTTATGTCTATTATTCTTTCTTTAGGATTGTAGTCTGTGCTACTACTAAAATGATTTGTGATCTACAACAGCTTAGGTAATCAAGAAATCTGAAGCTCTTCTTTTAAAACCAGTTAATTCATTGCCTGATCAACACATGTTTAAATAATTGCATCTGACTTAATCCAATTCCACTATATTTCCTATAAAAGACTGGCATGTTCTGATCTATTGAGTATTGAAACCAGGTTGAATTAGAATCTGTGGAAGCGTAAACTTCAAGACCAGGTCTAGATCTCAGTTCTTAAAACTCTTCTGCAAACTTTTCTAAGCAGTCTTCCCAAAGTCGGGACAATCTCTGCTGATTGTCTATGGAGATTCTCAGTCATCCAGGTCATGGTTGACCCAAATGTGCTTTTTCACTGGATTTTCTTTTTTCTCTTTGAAGACGTTTCACTTCTCATCCAAGAAGCTTCTTCAGCTCTCTGCTGAGGTCACTTGATTTCTTTCTTCACGAGTTCTTCAAGTTTGCTTTGCTGACTGGCAGAAGACATGCTGTAAAACTTAGTGGATGAACAGCTTGTTTCAAAACTTGTTTTCCCTATTTTGGACGTGTGCTGATTTGACAGTTTTATTTTTGAATCTCAGTGAAGAAAATTACAGTAAATCTACTGCAATGGTTAGGAAAATCCCAGAAAGGATGAAAGGTTAAAAGCGGGAAGAGAATATATTAATACCCCCATTTCTTGACACAAGTCTTGGTCTATTCAGTTTTTTACACATGCAGCTAGAACTGACCCTGAGAAATTACATCAGTTGGGAAATTTGACTCATTTTCCAGTAGGTCTGAGGGATGTGAGTTTCTGTTCAAATGTGATAAGTTCTATTGACCTATTTGCTGGCCATTATCTTGCCCACGTGTGGACTTTCTTGGAACACAGACCATTGGCTGATCCCAACCAGGGGCGGGATACTGTGGCCCTTAAAAGTTGCTCCCCTGTTCACTTGCCTACAAGACAATCTTGATTTATCCCAGAGAGAGAACGGATAAGACAGATTTTTATTTTTTTTTAAAAAAAAAAATCTAAGAACACAGCCTTACTCAAGAAATAAAGATGAAACTTCAAATTATCTGCATGCTCTTCATTTTACTGAGTGCTGCCACCAGAAACCTCTGCGCATTCACAATTCAGGTAAGAACAAAATTATTAATATTATGCAAAAATTTTGCTTTCTAATTTCTTGAACATTTTCTTTCTCTACTGAAGTAGCTGCTGTTTTGCCACCTTCTTCTTCGGGCATTTCACTACTATTTCTTTAGTTTTAATTTCTTCTCGTCAGGTCCTTGAGCTTCCTTAATTGAGCTTCAGCTTCCTTTTAGCCAATGAAGCTTTGTTTTCTGGTTCTTCACTTTTCTCTGTCTTTCCATCCTTCTGTAGACCTGCTATCAGTTCTTGCTTCCTAGTCTGAGAAAGCCCATGGAAAACAATATCTCTGGAGATCTTCCTCTAACATTTATAAGAAGCCAGGAAGGCTGAAGGTTGCTGGAGAGAAGATTGTCAGGATGTTCCTACCTCTCAACTGTCTCATAATTAATGGACTTTTAATCATTCTAAGCTTTTCAAAAGCAGAGTTGCAGAGAGTTGTGGATGAAATTAAAGCTGGTCCTAGGGACTGCTAAAGGAGTTTTGGAGTTGGAGTATTGGGCCAGAACTGGGCAACATTGATTTCATGACCTCACTTGATTGTGGAGCTCACCAGATGATTTGGGGGGGGGGCATCTTGGGGGGAAGACACCATCTTTCACATGTGACCCTCTAAGTTCTCAAACAAAAGGTAGAAGACATACGAATGTGTAAAATTAAACAAAGAGACAACTTGATGGAGGATACTGGATGATCTTGGGTTGTAGCAAAATAGTAGGAGGAGATTCCTGAAGAAAACTCAGGCTAGAAGTACACTGAGTTGTTATAAAGTACTAGATACACTGAAAATCAAGATAGCTGAAGGTTAAAGGATAAAGGTTTTCTCCTGTTGTGTAGGTGACCAAAAAAGTGGCAGAGCAGAAAGAAAGATTCAACCTCCTTAATTGTTGCAGGGAACCCCAAATACATTGTTAACTCTTTCTGACGAATTAATGAAAAAGAGAAGAAATGGAGCAGGACTATCTGGTTTTCTATTATTGCTTCCATCCACCGGGCCAGCCTATCTAGACACAGACACTTGTTTTACTAGAGATTCCTCTATAATATGGACAAGAGAAATGTCTGGCAGGTCTACGTGGGCAGCCTGGAGAATGGGAAGATGGTAGGGTGTCACTTTGTGGACTCCATTCTGTACCTGTCTAATAGCAACTGGAGGTAGAGAAATGTCCAGAGAGATAAAACTGCAAGGGGAGACTAGCTGTGATATTTATTCCCATAAACTGCTCCATTTTCTTATGCTAGACCAGGGGTAGGCAACCTTGGCTCTTTTATGACTGGTGGACTTCAACTCCCAGAATTCCTGAGCCAGCATGGCTCAGCATGGAAACCTCTCCCTTTCACCTCAGCATGGCTGGCTCAGGAATTCTGGGAGTTGAAGTCCACGAGTCATAAAAGAGCCAAGGTTGCCTACCCCTGTGCTAGACCTAAGCTTCTCTTTGTTCTGGTTCCTACTCATGAAGCGGAGAAAGGCACCAACAGCATGGGGGATTAAATTTGGAATGAGATTATCATGTTCATCTCCAAAAGCCCTAACCTTGGCATCAGCCTTACCAGCATGGTTAGAACTACATACGTTGCCAGCATGGTTAGAATTACGAACAAATTACTGAAATGTGGCGTTGATGCCAAGTATGTCTGGTGACATGGCAGGCCTGCATTTAATGTAGATCAAGACTGGGCAATCTGCAGCTTAATTTCAAAATCCTTCAAACTGCTTGCTTGTGATGTACCCATTTCTCAGGAGATCAAGAAAAGAGGGAGGGAGGAAAGAAGGACCTTCCTTTCTTCGTTCCTTTGTTCCTTTGTTCCTTTGTTCCTTTGTTCCTTCCTTCCTTCCTTCCTTCCTTCCTTCCTTCCTTCCTTCCTGCCTTCCTGCCTGCCTTCCTGCCTGCCTGCCTGCCTGCCTTGCCTTGCCTTGCCTTCCTTTTCACCTTGTCCCATTATTAATTTAAATTCTTCTGGGGGAATGTGACCCTTAAGAGAATTATACCCCTGTTCTCCTAATTTTAAAGATTGGGGCACCTAAGGTCTAGGACAGGAGTAGGCAACCTTGGCTCTTTTATGATTCGTGGACTTCAACTCCCAGAATTCCTGAGCCAGCTATGCTGAGGGGAAAGGGAGAGGTTTCCAAGCTGAGCCATGCTGGCTCAGGAATTCTGGGAGTTGAAGTCCACCAGTCATGAAGGGGCCATAGTTCCCCCATGCTGGCTCAGGAATTCTGGGAGTTGAAATCCACGAGTCATAAAAGAGCCAAGGTTGCCTACCCCTGGTCTAGGAAGCCAAATTCATACACCTTGCTTAAGCTTCAACTCAAAAATCTTCACAAAATGACACAACATGCAATGTCTAAAGTCTAAACAAACAACTCTTAAGTTCATAATCTAAGACAGTAGCTGGTTCTCCCACAGCAAGCTGGACCGCAGGCTAGCCAACTTCATCTTAACTGAATCTAGGATGTTCTGTGAACAGGGTGATCAAAGGCTATTTTTGACATATCTTTTCCTCTTTGACAATGGAAGATTTGAAAGGAATGTTTTTTGTTTCCTTCTCTTTACAGAGAGATGTCCAGAAAGACTTGGCCAGTTTGGACACCTACAAAACAGAAACCACGGGACTGCAGGTGAGACCAATGTCTGAGTAATGCTTGTAATATTCCATAATCGAGCAGAATGGTGAAGACATTTGTGCAATTCATTCAAAATACAAATTTGCAGTCTTACATTCTGAACTTTGCAACTGTAGGGAGGAGACTAAGCTGCAACTTCTATCCTACTTTTGTTTTGGTTTCTTTCACAATTATAATCTGTTTTTTTAAATCAATTAGTAAGATTAACCTAGACACTCAGATTGATATACTAGGAATTTTGAAAGCACACTGGTGGCAACCTTTCTTAGAAAAGACCACTTAAAAGTCCTACTTGTCTTGTCCAGAGCCATGTCAGGTTATGTTTTCTTCAAGTTTAGTCATTAAGCGATTCTACAAGATGTAGCTCTGTGACTCTCTTCTAACCTCATGCCCTCCAGATGTTCTTCATTATAAGCCCCTCATTTTCCTTCTCCATCCTCCTTAGGTGTTAGTTGACAGCTCTCAGAATCCCTAGCAACTATGGCCATTGGACATTAGATACCCGCACACAGGACTTTACTCCATCCACACCAAACTAAGATCAATTGACTGCCTTGCTGTTCCTACATTGATGATGCAATCACATTTCAAGAAGCTTCATGTTAAGAGCAAATACAAGAGTCACACTTCAATGGCAGGCTGTCAAAAATCTACGTTATAAAGCAAACAACCCTGCCAGATCAGAATATCGGCTTTTCTAGCCAGCATTCTGGGACTCAGAGTTGCCAACTTTGTGATTTTGGAACTCACAAGTTTGCCCTGAAGGATATGGTCCCCCCCCCTTCCACTGCCATTTCCCAGCAAAGGTGTTTAAGGCTTGTTTCAGGAGCTAGGAGACATCCATTAGGATTAGAAGCCATTACTGGTCTGGTCTTCTGCTCAAGCCATTCTAACTGGCACCCATTACCACAGCTACTGGTAGCTAATTCCATGTTCTAAGTATGTTGCATTCTGGTCTTGTTGTAACTTCTCCTTCTGAAATCCAAACTTGTGCATGCACGGAGAGTAAATTCTTTGTATTTCTCCCCACAGGCATTGTTAGGAAGACCCAAGCGTCACGTCAGTCACATAGCGCTGTGCAGATATTGCTGGGACTGTTGTGGAAACAAGGGTTTTGGCTACTGCTGTCGGACATGAAGAGGACATGTCCTACTGCTATGGAGATGCCTCTCTCCTTGTAGAAATGACCACCTCAAAAAAAACCTCCTCACATTGATCTCCAGGTCTCCTGATACATTTTCCTTATTTATTAGTTTGACAATATTTGGTGTTTTTGTTTTGCTTGATGTTCTTGTCAGTTCTTGAGAATTAAACATATTTTTATCTCATATGTCCTGTTACGGATTTGTGATTCTCTACCTCTGGTTGATATTTTCCTGCCTAAGTTCTGGCCTTCCCAAATATGGCAAACCACAGATCACCTGATTAGCCTGATCTTGAGGGCTGTGATGACTCAACAGAAAGGTATAAAAAACCCCATATAATTTTGAATCAAGCCATGGAATCTACTCAGCCAACAAGGATATATGTAGACCAGGGGTCTTCAAACTTGGCCCTTTTATGACTTGTGGACTTCACTTCCCAGAATTCCTCAGCCAGTGTGCCTGGCTGAGGAATTCTGGGAGTTGAAGTCCACAAGTCATAAAAGGGCCAAGTTTGAAGACCCCTGATGTAGACCCTCTTCCTATCCATTCCTTTTTGCCCTGCAACTCTGCTTTAAACATCTGCATGGAAGGCAAACATGGTACAGATTTTCTATGTAGTGTAGGGTCAGCTAGCTCTTCAAGACACAGGAACCCAGTGAGGTGATGATGACCACCCTACGATCAGCATTTTAAAAACTGGAATATCATACAATCATCCACAAAAATCTCCAGACTGATAAAACATCAGCAACACACGTTAAGTACAAAAATTTATAATCTGAAAGCCTGAGAGTCAAATCCACTAATTCATTTGGCTCAGAACAGAAGGAACATTTTGAGTTTCAGGGGAAAAAAAAGAGGATAGTTGTAGTGGTGGTAAAAGAATTACATTTCCCTAAGTTTCAACAAGTAGATCTGGTAGCTAGTTTGAGTGATCAATAATGTTTCCCCCAGGAAGATGTATGTCAGGAAGGGAGTTAATGTTATCAATATTTCCATTAAAGCCTTGGTAATTCAGCCCTAATCAGGCAAGATGCCTTTCCTTTAACTTACTGGTTAATCCTCACTTAATGACAGTACTTGGGACACATAATGACAGCTATGGTAACAACAATGGTACTTAGGACCCATTACTATGACTAAGTCAATCCCGTATGGTTATTATGTGCAATGTTGTGGTCGCCATTTGACTTCCTGCTGGCTTCCCCATTGACTTGCTTGTAACCGTTGGCATGTTGTGAAAACCAGAACTTCAAGGACCAGTCACTAGTCCCACTTATTCAGTGCTGTGGTAACTTCAAATGGTCACTGAACGAGTCATTACGTGAGGACTACCCATAGCAGGAATGATCCTAGTAGCAGGGAGAGTTTACAATAATAATATCCCCCAGGGACTTTGGAGAGATATTCCTTGATAAAAGGATTCCCACAAATTTCTTCATTTCAATATTCTAATTGCAGTTATGCCTTGCCAAGTCTTCTACCCATTCACTGTCCGGGGAGGAGATGCTGGTTGGGTGAACCTACGGGTGTGAGTGGGGATTTCCCAGGAGAGTCCATGACCATCTAGATCAAACATGTCAAACACAAAGCCCGGGGCCCAGATGCGGCCAGTGAAGTGGTTTTATGTGGCCCACAAAGCCATCCTGGAAACAGTGAGGGAACAGCCCCCGCTGCCTTGGCCCTGGCCCAGGCCGGCCGGGAGCCAATGTACAATTTTGTGGTGGCCATCTATGCTTAAATGCATTCAGTCTTAGCTCCACAAGGCCGTCTGGAAACAGCGAGGAACCAGCCCCTGCCGTGTCGGCCTCGCCCCCTGGGTGCATGCTGGGGAGGTGCCACCCTTTGTGAGGAATGAAGAAATGGACCATTGCCTGGAAGTGGCCAGCAAATGGCCCTCGCCTACTTTATATATCTGGTTTGATGGGCTCTGCCCTGGTCCCACCCCCTTCTGCCAGATATCCTCAGATCTGTCCCACTCCCGCCCAGGCCCCCACAGGCACCCTTGATGAGAATGATGTAGAGCTGGCCATGCCAACCCAGTAGGCCGCACCCACCCAGTAGGCCCTACCCATCCGGCCCCCCAAGGGCAACCACAATGCTGATGCGGCCCTCAATGAAATTGAGTTTGACACCCCTGATCTAGAAGTTGCTGGATTATACCTCCCTGCAACTCTAACCTATGGCCATGTTGGCTAGACTGCTGGGAGTTGTAGTTCAGAGGTATTTGTAAAAGGGTCAGAGGTCCCCCCACCCACCCCGTGCATCTAGCACTTGTTACACAGGAGCGCTCAAGATCTTTTGCCCATGTTGGATCAGATGTTGGAGTAGAGTTGATCAGAGCCAAAAGGAAAGTGCCAGTCGCTTATCCCAAAATATCCAGTGGTCCTTTCTGTTGATATATTCTCATAATCTTCTGGCATCTCCATATTCTCATAGGCCTTGCTGGTGCTTAATTCCTTTAAAAATGTAGAAGAAACCAGAGGAAAGACTTGAGTTCAAACGACTTAATAAAAATAGTTAAACTTTATGTTTTAAGGGCCTTACACTATCTGGAAGGGTCTGCAGGAGGGAATGATGGCAAATTATGAAATAAACAGCAAGACTTGGACCCCAATGTGAAAGACCAAGGTTCGCATCATGATGTTGTGACATGATGCAAACCTTTCCTCATTTTTGAATAGTTCCTGTTTGTACCAGACTCCTGTGGAAGAGGGACTAGCCAACATTTATTCTTTGAGTAAATATTATTACCGTACAACTTAGATGTAAAACCTAATAGTTCCAAACCATCATTTGTGACAATACCAGGGTTGGTCCATGAAGCAGATGCCCAAACAGAACAAACGATTTGGGTGACACATTGTCAGGTTAACAAATCTCTTTAGACTGTTGGCATACTTTTGATTTAATTTTAGGTTTTCACAAATGTCATCTAGGAGGATCTGTGCACCAGATCCTGTCTAAGAGCACCGGGTTGCTATCTCAGATTATGTTTTGATGATGATGTAATAGTCTGCATAAGTGTTTTTCAAAAGTGGCCACATTAAGATGTGTGAACTTTAATTCCCCACATTTATTTATTTACTTTGTCATATTTAAGAACTGCCCATCTCCCTCCCTCGCACGTTTAGCAGAATTCTGGGAGTTGAAGCCCGCACATCTTCATGTTCCCAAGTTTGAAAAACACTGGCCTGCATGAAGAAAAAGGATGGGGACGATTAATTCAGCAAGAGTTGGCAACCTGAATCCTTGCAGACGTTGCTGAACTACAACTCAAACCATCATTCATCACTGGCTATGCTGTCTTGGGGTTCTGGAAACTGAAAGTCCATGTATCTGGATAGCATTGGGTGAACTTAATAGATGTGGATAGGGATTTTCCAGGAGAATCCATGACCACCTAGATCAGTGATGGCGAACCTTTTAGAGACCGAGTGCCCAAATTGCAACCCAAAACCCACTTATGCATTGTCAGGTGCCGGGTGGGTGTGGCCCATTGGCTGGGCGTGGCCCATTGGCTGGGCGTGGCCCATTGGAAGGGCGTGGCCCATTGGGTGAGCATGGCTGCGGTGGTGACGGCAGACTGGGTGGGACTAAAAAGTTCAATAAATCAATTCCAACTTTGCAAGATCGTTTTTTTCCCTGTGAGAAGTTGAAATTGACTGATTGATTGAACCTTTTTTTTTTTTTGCACACAGCGGCGGAGGCCTAAGCGAAAAGGTTTTATAAAAACCAGCTGAAGGCCTAGGACTGGGGCGACGGCGCATGTGCCCACAGAGAGGGCTCTGAGTGCCGCCTCTGGCACCCGTGCCATAGGTTCGCCACCACTGACCTAGATATTGTTGGATTATACCTCCCTGAAACTCTAACCTATGGCTGTGTTGGTTGGACTTGTTGGTTGGGACTTGTAGTTCAGAAATATTTAGAAGTGGGTCAGAGGTTCCCCATGCATCTAGCAAGTGTTATGTAAGCCCTTGTTTCACAGAAGATGCTGCTATTCTCAGGTGCCCCCAGGTTGCTTCATACATTATCAGCAGCTTGGCTTCCTGGAACATTGGGTTTGTTGCCCATGTTGAGTTGCTCCTCCTCCTTATCTTCAGATGGCTTTTTTGTGTTAAGGTAAATCATTTCTTCTCCGTTGCCATGTAGCCTGGGGTTTTCCTCTTGTTCCTCTTCTTTCTCCCCTTGTTTCTTCTTCTTTTTCTGACTGGCCAAAGAAATATCATAAAAATAAAAGAAGGAAATTACCACCGGGGAATAAGATAAAAAGACAACGAAGGAAAAATATGGCAGGCAAAGCATTTCTGAGTGCATCAGTAGTAAAAAATATAGGAGCAAAGACCCCTGAAAAGATTGATCAGCTTTTCGAAAATTATCTTAAAATTTGAAGGCACACGCTAGATATATCCAAAGCAACGTTTGGTTAGTTTGATTGAGACCATTTCCCCATTAGTGAGTTATAGCATCTTGTAACACAACAGAATAACAGAGTTGGAAGGGACCTTGGAGGGCTTCTAGTCCAGCCCCCTGCTCAAGCAGGAAACCCCATACCATTTCAGACAAATGGTTGTCCAGTCTCTTCTTAAAAAACCTCCAGTGTTGGAGTACCCACAACTCCTGAAGGCAAGTTGTTCCACTGATTAATTATTCTAACTATTAGGACATTTCTCCTTAGTTCTAAGTTGGGCTCTCTCCTTGAATGCCATCTTCATAGCATCACCCAGCTCAGAGGCATCCTCAGGGGAGCCATGCCAGGGTGGGGCGAATGATGAAAGCAGCTCTGTCATTTGTGCACCTGTGGCATGACATCACACACAGGCAGGCAGGGGAATTCACTGGAGAAAGCAATTATGTTTGGAAGAGTTAGCGGTAAAAGGGAACCAGGCCATCCAAGAATAGAGTGGCTGGACACCATCAAAGCTGGACACCAGCCGGAGCATAGAACAACTCAAAGGAGTACTGCAAGATTTGAGGACGTGGAGACCTGGCCCATATAATTCCCAAGAGTCAGACACAACTGAATCATCACCATGAAAGGGGAGAGGCTTTCTTGACAATAGTGTGGAGCTAATTATGCTACAGGATGACGCTACTTTTGTCATTTTGATGAAAGCATCAGTTGCTGTGGAAAGCTCTGGCCCATAAAGCCTAAAGGGCCATAAAATCTGCTCCTTGACTGTTATTTTGGTATGGTGATGGTTGGTATGACGATGGTGAGGACACCTCCCCAAAGCTGCATGACTATAGTTGGAACTGACTGATTTGGAGGAGGAAACCCCTGAGTTTGGTTGATAGGAGTTGGTATCTTCCAATGACTCTCTGACTAACTAACTTACTTTAACTGAGGAAGCTGCTCGGATGAGCAGGGAAATGTCTCAACTAACAAAAATTGGTCCAGTTGCCGTGATTCAACCTTCAGACACCTTTGACTGAAGGATTGAGAATCTTTATCGGCAGATCTGACCGATCCTTTATGCTTCTTACCTGCTTACTGTCACTTTGTAAACCAAAATTCCCAGCAAGGTGAAGAGGACCAGCCCTGCAGCAGCTCCCCCCAATCCAATGAGCAAAAGGGTGAGGTTCCCTGCAAAAAGAGAGACACGGGCAAAGAAGCAGTCAACAGCCAGTTTGAGCCAGACATACTTAAAAAACCAGGAATCCAGTTTGCAAAACTTTTCCCATGAGTGCATATCTAGGCTACAGTGGGTAGCCTTTGGCAGTGGGTTGGACTGCCGGCTTGTTGGTAGAGCCCCCAGCACCACCAGCACCATGTGGCAGATCCTCTAGTCCAGTGTTTCTCAATGTTGGCAACTTTAAGACCTGTGATCTTCGACGCCCAGCATGCTAGCTGAGGAATTCTGGGAGTTGAAGTCTTAAAGTTGCTAAGGTTGAGAAACACGGCTCTATCTTTGTGAAGTCAATTATGAGTATTTTCCAAATATGGAACTAGTCCTTCTTTTCTCTATTATGGTACATGTGTGCCTTTATTGACAGAGAGAGAGAGAGAGAGAGAGAGAGACAGACAGACAGACAGACAGACAGACAGACAGACAGAGTAGTTGTCTCTCCTTGCTCCTAGTCCAGGGGTAGGCAACCTTGGCTCTTTTATGACTCGTGGACTTCAACTCCTGGCTCAGGAATTCTGGGAGTTGAAGTCCACAAGTCATAAAAGAGCCAAGGTTGCCTACCCCTGTCCTAGTCCAACATCTTAACCGCTATACTCCTCAGGCTGTTCACTTATATGTCCATAGAGTTTTCTTTGGAACAGTAGGGAAACTGTGGCCCATTGCTTTCTAGCCCATCTCCACCATCTCCACAGGTATCTCTGATTTAACTTTCCTTAGCCTTACCTGCCTTGATGGTGGGCAAGGTGATGTAGCTGGTCCCATGCTGATTGGTGGCCTTGCAGGATATCTGGGTAAAGTTAGATCCGGGCACCCTCAGAATGCCAACAATGGTTTGTTCCCAAGCGCTCAAGTCTGCTTGCAGTTCGGAGCTATTGAAATCTCCAGGAATGGTCTGGTTTAGAAGATTCCATTCAATTCTCGGAGGGGGGTTTCCCTCTGCCACACAGTAACAGGTGATAATCTCTTCAGTTCTTGAGACAGTACAGTTGCTTTCAGGCCAAATCACTGGCTTGTCTTAAAAATAAATAAATACATACATAGAAGGAATGGTTGCAAAGAAAGGAGAAAGCATCAGGCTAGGCTGGTGATGTCTGTCCCCTGGATTTGACACGTTGCTCCAAACAATTTCCAAGCTATCCTGTTGTGGTAGCTTTCTCAAATTGCCCTACAGGGCACACCACAGATTAGGCACAAAAAGCAAGTTTGTGGCCCAAACTTTATGAAGGATTTTTTTTTTTTAAAAAAAAAGAGATTTTACAACCTTTTTGTAGCAGTTGTTCAGTGAACATTGTGGCCGTTAAGCGAAAACTGTGGTCATTAAAGCAAGCCCATGGTTTGCTATGGGCCATTTTTGCCAAAACAAGCCTACAAGTAAAGGCCAGGTTTTGGCAAAACTGTCATAAAATGCAGTCACGTGGCTGCGGGATGCTGCTAACGGCTATAAGTGCAGCCTGGTTGCCTAGTGCTTGAAGTGTGGTGTGGTACGTGATAATGGAATTTCAACACCCCCTCCCCCAGATACATCCACCAGAACTTTGAATGGTCCCTAAGCAGAACCGGTAGCTAATTTTTGGTTGCCCAGGCCCAGAACGGACCTCCGGAAGCAACATCCACACAGAGAACCGGTTGTTCACCTATTTGAATCCTTCCTTCCTTCCTTCCTTTCTCCCTCCCTCCCTCCCTCCCTCCCTGTGGTAGGATTCAGGCAGTTCGCACCACTTTGGCAGAACCGGTAGCTAATTTTTTATTGCCCCGGCCCAGAATGGACTTCCGGAAGCAGCATCCACATGGAGAACCGGTTGTTCACCTATTTGATTCCTTCCTTCCTTCCTTCCTTCCTTCCTTCCTTCCTTCCTTCCTTCCTTCCTTCCTTCCTTCCTTCCTTCCTTCCTCCCTCCCTCCCTCCCTGTGGTAGGATTCAAGCAGTTCCTACCACTTTGGCAGAACCGGTAGCTAATTTTTTGTTGCCCAGGCCCAGAATGGACTTCCGGAAACGGCATCCACATAGAAAATATGTTGGCATGTTTATGTCAAGCGTAGGGTTTGCAAAGCTTTTATATTGAGCATATTGAGCCTTCATTAATCATGGGTGCAAAATAGACTGTCAATTAAAAATGGAAATAGGTTATCAGCCTGTGAGACGCTTTCCCTGTGAAATCCTCAGCATCTTCCACCCCCTAGCATTTTCCTCACTTGTATCCCAGACTGTGTTATGCATTGGCTGGTTTTTTTTTTTTTTTACTGTATATTAAAGGTTAATAAACGTGGAATTCATTTGATTCAGAGTATACACCTCTCCAACATGGTGAAATATGCCTTTAATTCTACTGCTTTTACATAAAAAGCCATGTTGCCTCTTGCCACAGTAGGTGGCAGCACCGAGCCAATTTTGAGCATTCTCAAAAAAAAAAAAAGTAAGCAGATTTAGATCTAGTTAGCTCAAAAAATGTAGCCTATCTTAGCATGAGCATCAGTGTCCATAGGGGGGCGCCAGAGGCCAGACTACACAAACCTTTGCCCACTACCAGCCCCACCTTATATATGTAAGATTTTGGAGCATGCATACAACATCACAACATATATATAAAATCACAGGGCTTGAGGCACAGTGCGGTGACACCTGAAATGTTGCTAACACAGTGCTTTTATTATCCCCCGTTACCACTACTAAGAGAAGAAGAGCAGCAGACAGGGAGAAAAAGGAATGGAATATGTACCAACGTCTACAGAAAAGTGTTTAGTAGAGCTTAGGGCAGGGGTCGGCAACCTTGGCTCTTTTATGACTCGTGGACTTCAACTCCCAGAATTCTTGAGCCAGCCATGCTGAGGGGAAAGGGAGAGGTTTCCATGCTGAGCCATGCTGGCTCAGGAATTCTGGGAGTTGAAGTCCACGAGTCATAAAAGAGCCAAGGTGGCCTACCCCTGGCTTAGGGTAACCAGATCAGGGCTCCAAATCTCTACAAGACCACTAGATGGTAGTAAAGAGTAGAGGTTTTTTTTTTTACTATCTCCCTTTGTTTCCATCTAGTGGTGATCTGCGGTTTTACAAATTGGATTTGGCACACGAACTAGGTAGCAAAAACCAAATAAAAACTAACTTGCCTTGCTGCCCACTTTCCAATCTCCACCTGATTGGTGGAATTTATTTATTTATTTATTTATTTATTATTCGAATTTATATCCCGCCCTTCTCCTTGCGGACTCAGGGCGGCTGACAATCGATTAAAAACACCACTAACAATTTCAAAATTAAAATTAATTAAAATGAAATATTTAAATTGTCTGATTAAAATGTAATTAAAAACCCCTCTAAAAACCCCTCTTAAAAATTGCCCTAGGCCAGTCCCGCTTGTTGGAATAGCCAATGCTTTTCAGAGTACAGAGTTCTGCCTTGTCACCTCCTAAACCAGCTGATTCAACTGCTCCTCCAAGCACAAATGGTTGATCGTCCTTGGACCAGCATTAAATATCGTCGGGAATGTGTACTCATAGGGGAATTGCTTACTAGCAGGGGTCCTCAACCTTGGCAACTTTAAGACTTATGGACTTCAATTCCCAGAATTCTGGGAGTTGAAGTCCACAAGTCTTAAAGTTGCCAAGGTTGAGGACCCCTGCCTTAAGGTCTCCTGATGTTGCTAACTTCCAATTCCCAGCAGGTCCAGCCATCCTAAATTGTGATAGAGAATGTTGGAGTGGGAGTTTCAGCAACTGCTCAAAGATTCTTTGCTTTTGAGGGTCAACTTTGTTGGCAGAAAATGCTGCTATTGCAGTGTTTCTCAAACCTGGCCACTGTAAGATGCATGGACTTCAACTTCCAGAATTTCCCAGCCAGCCCTGCTGGCTGGGGAATTCTGGGAGCTGAAGTCCATCCTTCTCAAAGTGGCCAAGGTTGAGCAACACTATACTAGTGAGTATCTGAGTGTAAAGGTTAAAGGTGTAGGAAATAACTTTGTTGAAAGAAAAGGTGCACCGGACAACCCAGTGGGAGGAGCTTGAATGATCACCTTTTCTAAGCTCTCAGGTGTTAAATGGGAAACACAAAAGACCTGAAAGAGAAAAAAACATGAAATGGTCCTCTCACACTCCACAGTTAGGTAAATAGGCGGCGAGTCGTCCCCCATGCCAAGATCATTTTCTGCCGCACAATGGTAGGGCTCCAAGTCTCTCCTGATGTCCTTCAGCTTCACCTCTGGTCCACCACCTGCTACCTTCAGTGGCGCCTTTTTTGGCCCAAAGAACCAGTGGTAGGTGATGGGTGGTGGGTTTCCATGGCTCTGACATCTCAGAGTGGCATCGTCTCCTTCTTTGAGCCTTGGATTCCCAATGATCAAGATAGTTGCATTTTTGGGAAGATCTGACAGAGAAAATCAGAAGGCAAGGAGGTTTGTTCAGACTGTGCTCACCGCACCTCCAAACACTGCCATCTTCTTCATCTCTTTTCCCTATTCCCCAGACCAAAAATAGGCTTCAGTGTCTACCAAGGCATCACATTGCAAAGGTGGTGGACCTTCAACTCCGAGCAGATGCAGCTGGTTTGGCCAATAAAGAAGTTGGTTGGGAGTTGTGGTGTGCTCTCAGTTGACTGGCTTTGCGCTATATCAGGGGTCTTCAAACTTGTCCCTTTTATGACTCATGGACTTCAACTCCCAGAAGTCCTCAGCCAGCGTGCCTGCCTGAGGAATTCTGGGAGTTGAAGTCCATGGGTCATAAAAGGGCCGAGTTTGAAGACCCCTGCCCTATATATTACTGAATCAATAAGGAACATGCAGATGGAGGTGAAGCCTTTGTAAAAACTCATTCAGGGTTTGCAATCATTGGGGAGCAATGTCTTCTCCTAAGTGTATTTTGGAGGGGAGGGATGAGTTGAAGTTCATGGGTCATAAAAGGGCCGAGTTTGAAGACCCCTGCCCTATATANCATTTGTGCACCTGTGGCATGACATCACACACAGGCAGGCAGGGGAATTCACTGGAGAAAGCAATTATGTTTGGAAGAGTTAGCGGTAAAAGGGAACCAGGCCATCCAAGAATAGAGTGGCTGGACACCATCAAAGCTGGACACCAGCCGGAGCATAGAACAACTCAAAGGAGTACTGCAAGATTTGAGGACGTGGAGAGACCTGGCCCATATAATTCCCAAGAGTCAGACACAACTGAATCATCACCATGAAAGGGGAGAGGCTTTCTTGACAATAGTGTGGAGCTAATTATGCTACAGGATGACGCTACTTTTGTCATTTTGATGAAAGCATCAGTTGCTGTGGAAAGCTCTGGCCCATAAAGCCTAAAGGGCCATACAATCTGCTCCTTGACTGTTATTTTGGTATGGCGATGGTTGGTATGACGATGGTGAGGACACCTCCCCAAAGCTGCATGACTATAGTTGGAACTGACTGATTTGGAGGAGGAAACCCCTGAGTTTGGTTGATAGGAGTTGGTATCTTCCAATGACTCTCTGACTAACTAACTTACTTTAACTGAGGAAGCTGCTCGGATGAGCAGCGAAACGTCTCAACTAACAAAAATTGCTCCGGTTGCCGTGATTCACCCTTCAGACACCTTTGCCTGAAGGATTGAGAATCTTCATCGGCAGATCTGACCGATCCTTTATGTGTCTTACCTGCTTACTGTCACTTTGTAAACCAAAATTCCCAGCAAGGTGAAGAGGACCAGCCCTGCAGCAGCTCCCCCCAATCCAATGAGCAAAAGGGTGAGGTTCCCTGCAAAAAGAGAGACATGGGCAAAGAAGCAGTGAACAGCCAGTTTGAGCCAGACATACTTAAAAAACCAGGAATCCAGTTTGCAAATCTTTTCCCATGAGTGCATATCTAGGCTACAGTGGGTAGCCTTTGGCAGTGGGTTGGACTGCCGGCTTGTTGGTAGAGCCCCCAGCACCACCAGCACCATGTGGCAGATCCTCTAATCCAGTGTTTCTCAATGTTGGCAACTTTAAGACCTGTGATCTTCGACGCCCAGCATGCTAGCTGAGGAATTCTGGGAGTTGAAGTCTTAAAGTTGCTAAGGTTGAGAAACACGGCTCTATCTTTGTGAAGTCAATTATGAATATTTTCCAAATATGGAACTAGTCCTTCTTTTCTCAATTACGGTACATGTGTGCCTTTATTGAGAGAGAGAGAGAGAGAGAGAGAGAGAGACAGACAGACAGACAGACAGACAGACAGAGGAGTTGTCTCTCCTTGCTCCTAGTCCAGGGGTAGGTAACCTTGGCTCTTTTATGACTCGTGGACTTCAACTCCTGGCTCCACGAGTCATAAAAGAGCCAAGGTTGCCTACCCCTGTCCTAGTCCAACATCTTAACCGCTATACTCCTCAGGCTGTTCACTTATATGTCCATAGAGTTTTCTTTGGAACAGTAGGGAAACTGTGGCCCATTGCTTTCTAGCCCATCTCCACCATCTCCACAGGTATCTCTGATTTAACTTTCCTTAGCCTTACCTGCCTTGATGGTGGGCAAGGTGATGTAGCTGGTCCCATGCTGATTGGTGGCCTTGCAGGATATCTGGGTAAAGTTAGATCCGGGCACCCTCAGAATGCCAACAATGGTTTGTTCCCAAGCGTTCAAGTCTGCTTGCAGTTCGGAGCTATTGAAATCTCCAGGAATGGTCTGGTTTAGAAGATTCCATTCAATTCTCGGAGGGGGGTTTCCCTCTGCCACACAGTAACAGGTGATAATCTCTTCAGTTCTTGAGACAGTACAGTTGCTTTCAGGCCAAATCACTGGCTTGTCTTAAAAATAAATAAATAAATACATACATAGAAGGAATGGTTGCAAAGAAAGGAGAAAGCATCAGGCTAGGCTGGTGATGTCTGTCCCCTGGATTTGACACGTTGCTCCAAACAATTTCCAAGCTATCCTGTTGTGGTAGCTTTCTCAAATTGCCCTACAGGGCACACCACAGATTAGGCACAAAAAGCAAGTTTGTGGCCCAAACTTTATGAAGGATTTTTTTTTTTTTAAAAAAAAGAGATTTTACAACCTTTTTGTAGCAGTTGTTCAGTGAACATTGTGGCCGTTAAGCGAAAACTGTGGTCATTAAAGCAAGCCCATGGTTTGTTATGGGCCATTTTTTGCCAAAACAAGCCTACAAGTAAAGGCCAGGTTTTGGCAGAACTGTCATAAAATGCAGTCACGTGGCTGCGGGATGCTGCTAACGGCTATAAGTGCAGCCTGGTTGCCTAGTGCTTGAAGTGTGGTGTGGTACGTGATAATGGAATTTCAACACCCACCCCCCCAGATAAATCTACCAGAACTTTGAATGGTCCCTAAGCAGAACCGGTAGCTAATTTTTGGTTGCCCAGGCCCAGAACGGACCTCCGGAAGCAGCATCCACACAGAGAACCGGTTGTTCACCTATTTGAATCCTTCCTTCCTTCCTTCCTTCCTTCCTTCCTTCCTTCCTTTCTCCCTCCCTCCTCTCCCTGTGGTAGGATTCAGGCAGTTCGCACCACTTTGGCAGAACCGGTAGCTAATTTTTTGTTGCCCAGGCCCAGAATGGACTTCCGGAAGCGGCATCCACACAGAGAACCAGTTTTTCACCTATTTGATTCCTTCCTTCCTTCCTTCCTTCCTTCCTTCCTTCCTTCCTTCCTTCCTCCCTCCCTCCCTCCCTCCTCTCCCTGTGGTAGGATTCAGGCAGTTCGCACCACTTTGGCAGAACCGGTAGCTAATTTTTTGTTGCCCAGGCCCAGAATGGACTTCCGGAAACGGCATCCACATAGATAACATGTTGGCATGTTTATGTCAAGCGTAGGGTTTGCAACGCTTTTATATTGAGCATATTGAGCCTTCATTAATCATGGGTGCAAAATAGACTGTCAATTAAAAATGTGTCAGGAAATAGGTTATCAGCCTGTGAGACGCTTTCCCTGTGAAATCCTCAGCATCTTCCACCCCCTAGCATTTTCCTCACTTGTATCCCAGACTGTGTTATGCATTGGCTGGTGTTTGTTTTTTTTACTGTATATTAAAGGTTAATAAACGTGGAATTCATTTGATTCAGAGTATACACCTCTCCAACATGGTGAAATATGCCTTTAATTCTACTGCTTTTACATAAAAAGCCATGTTGCCTCTTGCCACAGTAGGTGGCAGCACCGAGCTAATTTTGAGCATTCTCAAAAAAAAAAAAAGTAAGCAGATTTAGATCTAGTTAGCTCAAAAAATGTAGCCTATCTTAGCATGAGCATCAGTGTCCATAGGGGGGCGCCAGAGGCCAGACTACACAAACCTTTGCCCACTATCAGCCCCACCTTATATATATAAGATTTTGGAGCATGCATACAACATCACAACATATATATAAAATCACAGGGCTTGAGGCACAGTGCGGTGACACCTGAAATGTTGCTAACACAGTGCTTTTATTATCCCTGTTACCACTACTAAGCGAAGAAGAGCAGCAGACAGGGAGAAAAAAGAATGGAATACGTACCAACGTCTACAGAAAAGTGTTTAGTAGAGCTTAGGGCAGGGGTCGGCAACCTTGGCTCTTTTATGACTCGTGGACTTCAACTCCCAGAATTCTTGAGCCAGCCATGCTGAGGGGAAAGGGAGAGGTTTCCATGCTAAGCCATGCTGGCTCAGGAATTCTGGGAGTTGAAGTCCACGAGTCATAAAAGAGCCAAGGTGGCCTATCCCTGGCTTAGGGTAACCAGATCAGGGCTCCAAATCTCTACAAGACCACTAGATGGTAGTAAAGAGTAGAGGTTTTTTTTTTTTACTATCTCCCTTTGTTTCCATCTAGTGGTGATCTGCGGTTTTACAAATTGGATTTGGCACACGAACTAGGTAGCAAAAACCAAATAAAAACTAACTTGGCTTGCTGCCCACTTTCCAATCTCCACCTGATTGGTGGAATGCTTTTCAGAGCACAGAGTTCTGCCTTGTCACCTCCTAAACCAGCTGATTCAACTGCTCCTCCAAGCACAAATAGTTGATCGTCCTTGGACCAGCATTAAATATCGTCGGAAATGTGTACTCATAGGGGAATTGCTTACTAGCAGGGGTCCTCAACCTTGGCAACTTTAAGACTTATGGACTTCAATTCCCAGAATTCTGGGAGTTGAAGTCCACAAGTCTTAAAGTTGCCAAGGTTGAGGACCCCTGCCTTAAGGTCTCCTGATGTTGCTAACTTCCAATTCCCAGCAGGTCCAGCCATCCTAAATTGTGATAGAGAATGTTGTAGTGGGAGTTTCAGCAACTGCTCAAAGAGTCTTTGCTTTTGAGGGTCAACTTTGTTGGCAGAAAATGCTGCTATTGCAGTGTTTCTCAAACCTGGCCACTGTAAGATGCATGGACTTCAACTTCCAGAATTTCCCAGCCAGCCCTGCTGGCTGGGGAATTCTGGGAGCTGAAGTCCATCCTTCTCAAAGTGGCCAAGGTTGAGCAACACTATACTAGTGAGTATCTGAGTGTAAAGGTTAAAGGTGTAGGAAATAACTTTGTTGAAAGAAAAGGTGCACCGGACAACCCAGTGGGAGGAGCTTGAATGATCACCTTTTCTAAGCTCTCAGAAGGTGTTAAATGGGAAACACAAAAGACCTGAAAGAGAAAAAACATGAAATGGTCCTCTCACACTCCACAGTTAGGTAAATAGGCGGCGAGTCGTCCCCCATGCCAAGATCATTTTCTGCCGCACAATGGTAGGGCTCCAAGTCTCTCCTGATGTCCTTCAGCTTCAGCTCTGGTCCACCACCTGCTACCTTCAGTGGCGCCTTTTTTGGCCCAAAGAACCAGTGGTAGGTGATGGGTGGTGGGTTTCCATGGCTCTGACATCTCAGAGTGGCATCGTCTCCTTCTTTGAGCCTTGGATTCCCAATGATCAAGATAGTTGCATTTTTGGGAAGATCTGACAGAGAAAATCAGAAGGCAAGGAGGTTTGTTCAGACTGTGCTCACCGCACCTCCAAACACTGCCATCTTCTTCATCTCTTTTCCCTATTCCCCAGACCAAAAATAGGCTTCAGTGTCTACCAAGGCATCACATTGCAAAGGTGATGGACCTTCAACTCCGAGCAGATGCAGCTGGTTTGGCCAATAAAGAAGTTGGTTGGGAGTTGTGGTGTGCTCTCAGTTGACTGGCTTTGCGCTATATCAGGGGTCTTCAAACTTGGCCCTTTTATGACTCATGGACTTCAACTCCCAGAAGTCCTCAGCCAGCGTGCCTGCCTGAGGAATTCTGGGAGTTGAAGTCCATGGGTCATAAAAGGGCCGAGTTTGAAGACCCCTGCCCTATATATTACTGAATCAATAAGGAACATGCAGATGGAGGTGAAGCCTTTGTAAAAACTCATTCAGAGTTTGCAATCATTGGGGAGCAATGTCTTCTCCTAAGTGTATTTTGAAGGGGAGGGATGAGTTGAAGTCCATGGGTCATAAAAGGGCCGAGTTTGAAGACCCCTGCCCTATATATTACTGAATCAATAAGGAACATGCAGATGGAGGTGAAGCCTTTGTAAAAACTCATTCAGGGTTTGCAATCATTGGGGAGCAATGTCTTCTCCTAAGTGTGTTTTGGAGGGGAGGGATGAGCTTCTCCCCAAGAAATAAAAAAAAAATCCATCAATCAAGAAGAGAGCTGATCTACCCCCCAAGCTTATAAAGTACTTAGGAGGCATGGCTTGGCAGCACAAGGAAACAACAGCCAGCAACTTAATAGGCAGCCACCCACACCCCAATCTACATCTAAAAAAACTATACACAGCAGCCACCATATAAATACCACACACAGAACAGCCCAAAGCACACAGAGAAGTTCCCTTAGGATGGGCTCCAGCATGAATCCAAAAGCTCAGAAGACAAAATTTCTAGTTCCGGTGACTGACCCAGGTTGGATCCTGCATTAAAAAAATCCCTCCAAGCAAAATGTCAGAGGGAGATTCTTCTCTCCCCCTTTCAATCAACAGGAGGAGACAATCTCCTTGAAACTTTAGAAAAAAAGGAACAGAGTTGGAGCTAGAAAACTCTGGAGGAGGAAACAAGATGCAGATCTTCCCAATTATAGTTGATACTGCCCATTGTAGCTTTATTCTGATTGTCCTTTCCCAAGAGAAACCTAACAGATGTTGTCCCCCAAAGGTGGTTTTTCAAAAGGCGACTGGACTGTCTTTGTTTTTCCTTGAAGACATTTCACTTCTCATCCGACAACCGAAGAAGATTCTTGGATGAGAAATGAAATGTCTTCAAGGAAAAACAAAGGAAGTCCAGTTGCCTTTTGAAAAAGCACCTTCGGGACAACCATGACCTGGATGATTAAAAACCTCCATGGAGACCTAACAGATGTTAGACCCAATCAACAGCATTGGCATGGGCACCATGAATGTTTTAGACACCAAATTCTTGAATTCCCCAGCCCTACTAGAGCTTCCAAGCTTCTGGAAAATAAACATACCGATATAAGCATGACAGGTATTTCAGAATAAAACAGACCAGGTCAGGTGCCATTCCACTTCTGTGATTGGACACTTACACTGAACATTCAGGTTGATCCCACTGTAAATCTGTTGCTTGTTTGGAAAGGTTGCCGTGCATTGCAAGAATCTGCCGTGATCTTTGTGGGAAGGGATGTAGTTAAAACTCGATTCTGTCCGCCAGGATCCACCTGTCACATATTCTTGGGTTGTGATAGCCTTGCTTTCGTCTAGATTCCAGGTGAGGATAGGTGGAGACAAAGGACAGGTGTGCAGGACTGAACAAGACACCTGGGTGGGATCCCCTTCGGTCACTAGTCCCAGATCACTCAACTCCAGCTGGTTAGGGGCATCTGAGAAGGCATCCAAAGAGAGCAAATGAGTTGTAGGATAAATGGAGGCATTTATCATTTAGCCAGAATGACTACAGGTACTCCTGACTTATGACCACTTGTTTAGCAACTATTCAAAGTTACAACATGGGTGGAAAAAAGTGACTTATAACCAGCCTTCGCCTTTCGATCATTGCTGGTCACCATTTGCTTAAAATAGCAAAAAAAACAAGACTGTAAAATCAGGTGCGACTCATTTAACAACCACCCCACTTAGCAACAGATGGTCTGGTGTCAGCCGTAATCATACGTTGAGGACTACCTATATGAAGAAAAAGCTTTGCTATGGAAAATTGGGCTAAAATTCCTGTTAGTTTTAGTTCTCTTTTTTTTTAATGAAAGACATAAAAATGATTCAGACAATAAATATCATTTAGAGTACCTGAAATTTAAAATAAGCTTCAGACGTGCAATCTCTGCTAAAATAACCATGGATGCAGTTTTGGTTATGAAAGAGAGGGGTGAATTACAATTGCAACAACTTAAAGGGGACAATTGGAGCTGGTAGCTCCTCCCCTGATCACACCAGCAACAATATTGTGACTGAAGTGTGCTAGCTAGATTATAGATTCATGGCAAATATGAAGCTGGGAGAAGAAGAAAAAATACTTTAAAACTAAATAGCTAAATAGAGCTTAGTCTTACAAAACAACATTGCTTAATTGAAGGGACCCAAAGCAAACCGACTCTGGTAGAGCAGATGCAGCCGATTTTGGTCACCATATCACAAAAAAGATGTTGAGAGTTTGGAAAAAAAATCAGAGAAGAGCAACTAAGATGATCAAAGGCCTGGAGACTAAAACATAGGAAGAACAGCTGCAGGACTTGGGTTTGGCTAGTCTAAAGAAAAGAAGAAATAGGGGAGACATGATAGCAGTATTCCAGTATCTGAGGGGTGCCACAAGACAGAGGGGGGCACCAAAGCACCAGAGGGAAGGACGAGTAACAATGGTTGGAAACTGATCAAAGAGAGAAAAAACCTGGAATTAAGGAGAAACTTCCTGACAGTGAGGACAATCAACCAGTGGAACAGCTTATCCCCGGAAATCGTGGGTGCTTCATCACTGGAGATTTTTAAGAAGAGACTGGACATTCACCTGTCTGAGACAGTATAGATTCTCCTGCTTGAGTAGGGGGCTGGACTAGAAGGCCTCCAAGATCCCTTCCAGCTCTATTCTATTCTATTCTATTCTATTCTATTCTATTCTATTCTATTCTATTCTATTCTATTCTATTCTATTCTATTCTATTCTATATTTCTACTCTACTCTACTCTACTCTACTCTACTCTACTCTACTCTATTCTATTCGGCAGATAGTCCCTCAGCCACCTAACCCTATGTCCCTAGGGCTTTATGGGTAATAAACATCACCTTCAATCATATCTGGAAGCCAACTGGCAACCACTATAGCTTATGTAGAGGGGTATTACATGGGCAGAGCAAAGCTTGGCCATCGTTGCTAGAAGTGCCATGTTTTGGACTAGCTGTAGTTTTTGAGTGGTTTTCCCAAACAGCTCGGTATACAGCAAACTGCAACAGCCACCTGCAAAGTGACCAAGGCAGGAACAAATGCAATTGGCACACAGGTTGAACTTCTGCAAAGGTCTTTCTGGCCTCAGCTTCTCACCATTCCTCAAATTAATAGGGGTAGAAACCAGCTATTTATGCAACATCCTAACCAGGAAAAGATGTTCATCCTCAGAGGAGATCTTGGCACAAAGATGCACTAACCTGTTACCTCTACCTGGACTGTGACATCATGGAATCGATGATTGACCGAGCCAGGGTTGATCCAGACATAATATTTCATGGCATCCTCCATCTTTACCGGATTGATGCTGAGAGTACAGTTGCCCGTTTGCAGATTGCCCACTACTTTCGTTCGTCCCTGGTAGGCTGGTAGGACATTGCTTGGCGTTCTGCTGTTGTAGACTTCAGGGTAGCTCCAGAAATGGTACTGGTACCAAACCACACTGCTGTCCCAAGAATCCCATGAATCTGGGAAGGTGAAGGAACATGGGATGACCACACAGGATCCTTTTAGGGCTTGGATGGAGCTGGGCAGGGTGGAGCTCCAGGTTGCAGAGACAGGGCTGTCAAAGAGAACTGGAGAAAAGTTGGGGAGGGGAGGTTAAAAAAAGGGAGAGGGGTTTCAACTGGAGCTAAGATACCCCTTGGCCCTTGAAGAACATCCCTCGCCCTCTGAAGGGAACCAACTGTGATGAACCCTAGTTCTTCTGATTCTAGAGAAGTTGGGGAAGGTGAGATGCACATTAAAGGAAGCATCCTGATGGAACAGATGGAACATCTATCTAGTCCACCATTTGGTTGACAGAATTGTCAATTCACTGCTTATGGAATCCTTCAAGCAGGACCTAAACATGATGGCCACTTACGTTGTCCAGAAGAGCACTTTGTCCTGATGCTTTATTACAGAACTTACCTAGGAGGAATGTCAGAGGCAGATGTTGGCTGGACGGTTTCATGTTGCAAAGTCTCTTTGAAGTTACAACCCGGAGATTGCCTCAAGGGTGGGGAACGGCAATTCCTTGTTCTGGTCTTCTCTGTCATGCACAATCAAACTCTCCAATGGAAAAATTGATTGGAAGAGAAAGAGTGGGAAAGCTGAAGGAGATGAATCAGAAACCAAAGTTGAGACTTTAGTAGAAGGTTATTTTAAATGTTGGTCATGGCCAAATACTGAGGAAAAAAACCCACATTCTATGCATTCTGAAAGACATCGTGATAGATGAAAAAAAAATTCCGCTGTCTGAAAATGTTATAGCCTATGAAGCTTGAACCACCAACAGAAGGACTAACTCTTCACTTAGGGAGGATGGGGTTGGGTAGAATAAGTGTTGTCTGTGGGATTTCTGCCATTCAAGCATGTTGAAAGCCTCCATCATCTCTGCTGTATTAAAAAAAAGGGCCTCCTTTCACTTTTGAAGCTTAAACATATGATAGTGTTGAAACACCATACTCAAGCTCCTGGCAGAGGTTCTTCTAATCTGATGAAACTGGGAGAAAGGATTCTTGCAAGAAATGGCAAGAGACTATCCCCATCCCTCTTCTCCAACCCAACTCAACCTCTTTGATGGAAAGCAAAAGTGATCAAGGAGCCACTTGGTCAAGCAGTGAAAATGCTGAGGCAAGTTTTACTTCCACTAACTTCTCTCTCATGTTCCAGTGGTGATATCCTGCTAGGAATTTCTGGCCGATGAAAGGGAAAAATTAATATCATGGTTCCAACAGATGAAACTCTTCAAAGAACTTCGAGGCATTGTTTACCTTAAAGAATCTTTATTTGAGAAGCATAGCGTCGGTACTAACATAATCGAAGCCAAAAATTGAATTCCCCTCCCCTGAGCACATAGTCTCAAAGCACAATTCCCTCCTCCAATTAACAGTCATAAATCATATTCTCCAATTAGTTTGAAATGCAGGCTTTCCCTCCAGTTCTCCAGCCCGCCAATTCTTATCATCTCTTATTTCAATAACCTTGGTTCACACACTAGGTCCAGTATTGTTACGTCTAGCTAAACTCTCATGCACATTCCTCCCCCAGCATCAGCTAACTCTAACTCTAAGAGTAAAACATAAGAAGAAAATGGTTGCATCTCCAACTGTTGTCAAAGCAAAAACATCCGATGTTAGCAGCATTGACACTTCTTTTCTGAAACACAATTATTCCCACAATGATGACCAATTCCAGCACTGATTGGCTCGCTATTGATGCCCATTTAAACTATCCTGAGATATATGGCCACCTAAGATCACATCTGATACCTTCCCCCTTCCATTGCGACAGTGCAAAGGGATCACACCATCTGAATCAAAGGACTTGTTTATACAGGGACTGGTGGCGATTCATTAGGAGGCCTGCATGTATTTAAAAGTCATTTGCTCCCCTGTGCATGAAACATGGACTACAATCATTAGAAATAGTCTCCTGATGAGTAATGACTACTTTATCCTTTAGCTAAGGCTGCTAGCTGAGTAATGAGGAGTCTAACCTGGGGGTGAAAAACTGCAGACTTGGTCTTGGGAAGGGAGCAATGAACTGTTAAGGGAGGAAGAAAGGTCAGCTGGTCTGGGGGAAAGGAAAGAGTGAGAAAGAAACTCAGAATAACGCTACCTTGGTTTTCTTTGGTATATGTGATAGAAAGAAATTCTAACAGAACAGAAACTCAAGTTTCTGTTATTCTACCCTACAGCCATCAAGAACATGCAGTTCTTGGTTCTTGACTTGTCCTGTCTTGAAGGACTGGCCTAATGCTGTGCCATTGTGACAATTTCATCAGTTCAACTCAGAAGATGCATGTTTTTTTGTGGGATGGAAAGTTTGAGTTTTGGTTGTACGTCACCTTCTGCAGATCCTGTTCTTCAAAACATGGGAGCCCATTAAAAAACTTCTCTACCATGCTAGACTCAAACACCCCCAAATGATCTTGCAAGTTATAAATCCAGCACGTGATTTGCAACCTTTTCAGAATAGGAGATGGGCTATTATAAAGACATGGAGGATTCTTTGTACACACTCAGAAAAACTCTTACTGACCTTTTCCAAACTCCGCTGAAGGTATGCCCAGAAAATAGGCTGAGTTGACTTTACATTTTTATCTGGGGGGGGGGAGTTTTGTGTGGTTTTTATTTCAGAGGCAGAGACTTATATGTAGCAGTTCCTTTCCTCTCAGTTCCTGTGATAGTCTAGTCCAGGGGTAGGCAACCTTGGCTCTTTTATGATTCGTGGACTTCAACTCCCAGAATTCCTGGGCCAGCATGGCTCAGCATGGAAACCTCTCCCTTTTCCCTCAGCATGGCTGGCTCAGGAATTCTGGGAGTTGAAGTCCACAAGTCATAAAAGAGCCAAGGTTGCCTACTCCTGGTCTAGTCTCCTGCCATATCCACTGCATATCCCTCATTCACCTGTATATCACAGGTGTTACTGAAGAAAAAGCTTCACCTTATGAAAAGGTCTCTATTTTCAGTTGCTACAAATAGCCACCAACTTCCAGCCTGCACTGCAGGGCTAAAGTTTCCCTCTCCCACTGAGACTCAGCTGATTTTTCATCTCCTCTAGCCTGAGAACATTGACCTGATGTGTCATTTCAGTCCACATCATCCATACCTCTTTTGACCATCACCGTTTAAAACAAGGGGACTGAAGTATCATCCTGGATAAACATGGCCACACCAAAAACAGGTTGATGACCATGACATAACCCCCAATTTTGGCTGATGATTTTGTAAGTTGTGTTTGCTTCATCGGTTTGCTCGTGATCTTACTGCCGTAGTGCTAACCTTGATATGTTGGTTTGCGGGGAAAAGGTCGATGGCAAAATTCAGTTCCTAGTGCTAATTTTAAGCATGGCATTTGGCATTTCTCTCTTTCCTAAAAACAAACAAACAAAACAACAGCAACAACGGTTTGGCTTCCGAATGTGGCACATTTCAAATGCATGTGAAATTTTGTTTCAGCTCCAGGCTCTGAGCACAATTGTTAATTTGCTAATGATCGTTGTGCATGGAAATTGCTTGCAGCGCCAGAGCTAAACCTTTGCTCTTTCATTTCTCTCTCTCTCTCTCTCTCTCTCTCTCTCTCTCTCTCTCTCTCTCACACACACACACACACACACACACACACACACACACACACACATCAAAAGTAAAACCATAAACTGGGCAGCTGTAGCTATCTGCAGAAGAGGATAGGAAGAGGATAAAAGAAAAAAGAAAAAAATTGTTATAAAATAACTCAAATATATACATTCCTTTTTTATCCTTGTAATGCCCATACCATTCCCTTCCCCTGCACCCCTTCCCTTATCCCCTAAATCCTATTTTATTCCTATCCATGTTAGTGTATAAAATTGTTTGTTGGATGACAGGCCTAGTATTAAATGAGTAAATATCATACTCAACCATTTTTAAAACAAGCTTAACTATAGCCATATTGCTAACAATTAATAAACAAATAAATTCAATTCATAAACAAATAAAGTCCTTTTCAGATTCTAACGTGTCTCTAACCATTGATAATTTTTTTCCCCAAGTTGTAAAATAAACTGAGTCATCTTTTTCTTTCATCTCCAATATTAATCTATCCATTTCTGCACACTCTAAGATTTTAGTAATTATAGCCTGATCAGATGGTAGATTTTCATTTTTCCTCCTCCTATTTTCTTCTAGCTGTATAAAATTCTAGGTGGCATCTCCCCAGCCTCCCCATCTCCTGAAGCCAGATGGGTGACCTTGGGCCAGTCCCTGTCTCTCAGCCCTAGGAAGGAAGAAATGGCAAAGCACTTCTGAAAAAAACTTGCCAAGAAAACTACAGGCACTTGTCCAGGCAGTCTCTGAGAATTGGACACAACTGAACAGAAAGGGGTGTGTGTGTGTGAAGCCCCATCTCATCAGATCCTTCTGACACAACTTCCTCAATGTGCACACATAAACCACAGCAGGTGCTCACTGTTCTACAACATTCATACACTTCCAAGGTCAGATTGGTACCCCTATCGTTCTCCATCCCTATTTTTCGGACAGTTTATCATTTCAGCCAATGTAACAGAAGTGGCCAGTCACACAACCACATTTTTTTCCCCAAGAGGCCAACAGTGTGAGAACAGAAGAATGACACTTTAAAGAGGTTCGTTTCCAGCATTTTTCCTCACAGTATAAGTTTTCTCAATGCTTTAAGGTTCAATATGAGTTGTTTGGACTCCAGAATCCAACAACGGTGATTTATCAATAAACGGTATAGTTAAACAAGCCATGGTTTAGCATGACAATACTGTGTCAATTTCTACTAAGCCTGGAGACCTTGCAAGGACTGAAACAACTCGCACTCTCCAGAATTTGTCAAGCTTTTGCAAACATGCTAAGGAAACTGGATTCTGAGACTGCACCCAGCCTGTACAGAATATATTGACCATATTAAATGCCTCCAGTGACACTTAGACCAAATGTATAGCCTTGCTACTAACAGCAGTTTTCTTTCTTAGACCTATGGTTGATAGATATCAGCCTTACATCTAAGTTCATCAAAGCTTAAAAGAAAATCTTCTTCTCCAATCTGTGGGATTCCACACCTGAAGCCAGACATTATTCCAGGAGTGTTCTCCCCCCCCAGCTAGGTAAAAGTCTATGTATATTTTCTTAGCTTTTGGGTTTTGTGCACAAAGCTATTGCTTTCGAAAAGGCATTGTGCTCTCGACCACGTGCAAATTAGAAAAACCTCTTCTATAAAATGGGCTTTCCCACTGTGGTGTTTCAAAATTAGGCAGTTGCACAGGCTTTTTTTTTATTAAAAGTTTTATAAAAATTACAATATGAATCCCCATACCCACCCCAAAACCCCCCTCCCTCTCCCCCACTTCCCAGAGCTGAACACAGGGTTACAAATATAATAATCATAATCTAACTAACATTAACCAACTATTTAAATAACCAAGTCCATAAAGCGCTTTAACTCCCTTTTAACAAAAAT